GAGTTAGGAATTAAAGCTGTTAGTGTTCCTCACAGAGAAGACAAGTGTGAGATCTACAGAGTAAGTCTCAGATAACTACAGCTGACCACTTCTCAAACAGATATTAACATCAACGGAGGATTCTGCAATATCCAGATATTGCTTCCTGTCCATATATGTACAGGTTGCATTCAATTGTCAGAAATATATTGAAAATGGAGTTTCAGTTGCTTTGTTATTCCTGTTTTATACCGATCAAATGAGCTTCAAACAAATGAATAGGCTGATGAAAAATTACTTTCAAAACTTTGATCACCAAGCATCGATCTGTCCTGCATAATAATTACACATAGAAATGGTTAAGACATTTGATCCGTTTGATAATGTGAAATGTTTCCTTGTGCATTAGTTTGTCACAACACAAATAATGTGTTCCAAAAGGAGTACATAACGGCAGTAAATGGAAATATTCTGTACTACTACTACTACTACTACTAATAATAATAATGAGGATAACATGAGTAAAAGAGGATGAAACTGGTGCTCTGTTTTGATCGCTCGACCCCTTAAAGCGGCTTCACTCAGAACGTACAGGACATCAGCAAAGAAAACTCAAAACCACAAACAGTCACAAGAAGAGCCAATGAATGATGCTTTTAAAACTAAATAATATTAGAGATCTGTCTTATTGATTTGCATTCAGATCAAGCTATTTACAGTGTTTCTGTGACAGTCTGATGGCCGTTGGCCCCGTAGAGATGGCTGATGCTGGAGGGGATGTGTCTGGATCCCCTCGGGGTCTGAGCTGGTGATTGTGCTCTTCACAAACCGCCGCTACAGACTCAGCCGTCCTGTTGTCCTACATCTCGCTAGCTATGACAAAAACCATCTTATGAAGATTCCCCTTCAGCCTTCCTGCCTGCAGACACAACCAAGAGCAGACAAAAGCTGGGACTTATACAGTATTGTGTGAAAATATTGATTTATACAGTGACAATGTGACAACTGATGTGTGTGAATATTAGACACAGACACTTTTGAAAAAGTTTGTCTTCAGAAAA